CGTGATGCCACATGCAATATGCAACACTTACCAAGCACTGCACACGTGATGCCACATGCAATATGCAACACTTACCAAGCACTGCACACGTGATGTCACATGCAATATGCAACACTTACCAAGCACTGCACACGTGATGTCACACGTGATGCCACATGCAATATGCAATACTCACCAAGCACTGCACACGTGATGTCAGCGCAATTACAATTAAAATCTTAATCGCGTTTCCCATTTACTTTAAGCGTTTTGGTTTTAGGAATAGATTGCTTGTGAAGATTTCTTGGCCAGAAATGCCACACGGTCCAGCCAACGAGAACTACTATAAAGACAATCCAAAAGACCACAATATGGCGCGGGAACGGTAGAGTGACAACATTCCAGCCAAATTTGAGACAGATTAACACTTCTGAGCCTATTATCGCTGCAACAACCCAGGCTTGTTGTCCAAACCGTTTGCAGTTCCTTATAAACAAAGAAAACTTGTTCAGTATAAACTGCCAAGATTACTGGCGCAAAGTTAAGATCTTGTTATCTCGAAGATATTAGTTCTTAGAATAGTACTACTCTGTAAATTCGAATATAAATAAAGCCTATGCATTTATATTGTGCTTATAAACAATTTTTAAAAGAAGTCAAATACCGCTGTGTTCCTTGATTACAGACTTAATTACTCAGGGTTAGCCTCGAATCAGTGTCTAAATATTCACAAATACCAACGGTAAAGTAAAGAATGCACAACTTCAACAATACAAACACTTTGAAATTCCACGGACCTTCACTCCTTCATATGAATATTCTGCACAAAAACTGGGGCTTACCCTGAGCAACAGAACTCGAAACTGGAGTAAAATGATTATAAAATGTGAAAAACTAGACACGTGGCTTGTCAGTCTTCATTTGACTGAACACAAAACTCTCCGTAATTTTATCTTTGAATTTTGTCTTTCTTTATAAATCAATTAATAACAAATGATTTAAATTTTTTTTTGTTTTGATTGTCAACAGATA